GATGGGGACGTATAAGGAACTTGCTGCCGACCCCGAGAGCGCGTTTACGAGGCTTATGGAGTGGCAGATGAGTGGCGGGGAGGGCACGGAGGAGGCTGTGGGTGCTAACCGCGAGGGTGCGGGGCATGTGACGGAGAGTGAGGTCATTGCGGATAACCTCGCGCGAGAGGCGAGCTTGGCTGAGGAGGAAGAGGCGCACGAGCAGGAGCAGGAGCAGGAGGACGAGGAGGCTGAGGAGAAGCGGGAGGAGGAGGAGGAGAAGCGGGCGAAGTCGGAGGGCGTAGATGGCGAGGTGAAGAAATAAGGGGTAGGCGGCTTTGATGGACGGCGTTTTTTTAGTATAGACGAAGCGGGCCGTTGTGGTGCGCAATTGTTTATTTTTTGTTGCGGACGTTGTATATAGATAAGTGCGTGATACTCCTCTCAACGAGGCGATGGGTTGGAAGACAGTTGCATAGACGTACGTAGGCTTTGGCACTGTATAAAATAGAAAAGAAAAAAACTTAATTATCCCAGTCGTCTCAGTTCTACTTCTTGGCGAAGCAATCATCCGCCTGGGTGATATAGTCATTGAATGCCGTGGTCAAATTTCCATTATCACTTTGCTCAAATAACAGCACGGCATGAAAGTATGCATAATTCATCAAATATAAACCAAATCTATTGCTTCTAAACCAACCCGCAAGCCATGCAAAAAAACGCCTCTCACTCAACCCCTAACTAAGCCTTCTCCCCAAAAACCAAAAGCCTCTCCCCCTCCACAGGCAAGAAGCTCTTCTCCCCGGCCTCCCCAGCCGGAGTCCCAACAACCAACTCAGCATCCAGAGCCCAGTCCTCGGAAATGCCCCAGGTCTCCCTGACGCGCGCATCGACGAGCGGGTTGTAGTGCTGGAGGTTACCTCCGAGACCCTCGGCCGCGAGGGCGGTCCAGAGGGAGATCTCGTGGGCGCCGGCGGACTGGGCGGCCCAGTGGGGGAACTTGTCGGCGTAGGCGGGGAAGGCGGCTTGTTGGCCGATGATGGTGGGGGTGTGGGTGAAGAAGAGGATCTAGTGGGGGTGTTAGAACGTGTATTGTATTGTGGGATTGGGAGGGGAAAGGAGGGGGGGTGGCGGGGGGACGAACGGTAGCGTAGGCGCCCTTGAACATGTTGATCTTGCCCTCGGTGGCGGCCCATCCCTCAGCGGGGACGATGGGCTTCAGGACCTCGGCGTGGATGTCCCAGAGCTTGTCGTGCTCGGCGTGGAGGAGGATGACGGCGCGGGTGGACTGCGCGTTGAAGGAGGAGGGGACGTGCTTGATGACCTCGGCGACGATCTCGCGGAGGCGCGAGTCGGGGATGGGGGATTCCTTCTTGAGGGGGTAGACGGAGCGGCGGGCCGCGAGGGCGGTGAGGTAGGGGGTTGCGGACATGGTTGCGGTGGTGGAGTTGGTGCGGTGGGTGGATGAGGTGCGAGGTGAGAACTTGTTGATGATGGAGGAGGATGAGAGAGGGGAAAGAGGGGACATATATAGGGAACGGCGAGAGGGGAGGGCTCGTAGGAGCGGGGCAAATTTGAAGCCAAGAGTGGAGGAGGCCATTACTACTGAAGTTTTTTGTGGTTCGAAAGCTTGAGAATCAATGCTAAAAGATATGCTATATAACGCGATGCAGAGTCAAGACGCTTATTAAGGCTTTGGAAGCAGTATAAATCATTGCACTCCCACGGCGCGGACCACAGAAAAATAGACGCTAGGAAATTATAAGGAACCACTTATTCTTATTCACGCACTTGTCATCAATTGTGTGATGTAGGGAGGGGAGGGGTCGTGCGATTTCACTAACAAAACGATGTCTTGAATTCGGGGCGAAACTGCGGCACATTTTTCGTTCCGAGTAAATCTGGCGGGGCGTCGGAAGGGTGGGGGGAGGTTCCTCGCCGAGGTAACGTGACTGGGCAGACTTAGTGGGTCCCCGTGATTTCTCATCATTTCTCATCAATGCTCAGCGATTATGGATGAGGAGCTCTGAAACCGGCCGTGCCAATTTTCTTCGTTAAACAACTTCATCGTAATTGACACTCCCCCACTCCCCCACCACCCCCACCACATCCCATCCCTCTTGCAGTTTCTAGAAACAACGAATTCCCCGACCCCGATTCCGATATCACAATCCCATTCTACCACTCACACTAACTCGCATGCTTGCCCCGCTGAAAACAATAATCCACAAAGCGAACACATCTGATGCGCATGAGGCACTTGCACTGCTAATATCCTAAGATCTCGCCTCCTCCAGCTCCTGCTCCAGCTGCTTGATGCGCTCGTTCTGCTCGCTGGAGCCGTTGCCACCGACCTTCTTCTTCAGGAAATCGACTTCCGAAGCCAGATGACCGATCTGCTCGCTCTGCGCTGTGATAGTCTTGGTCTGCTGCTCTAGGAGCCTCTTGATCTGATCCAGTGAGTTCTCGACCGACGCCGATGCCGGGGTAGAAGTCGTGGGGGATCCGGAAGGCGCCGCCGCGGCACGGGATGGTAGGGCGCTTGTAGGTGCGGCTGCGGCCTGGGCTGGGGCTTGACGGGCGACTGGCGAAGCGGCCTTGGGCTGGGGCTTGGCGGCTGCTGCGGTTGTCTGGGGTCTAACGACGGGCTTGGGGATTTCCTCGAAGCTGGAGGCGTCATCGTCTTCCTCTTCGGCATCGTTGTCTTGGAACTTGGAGGCCATCTCGGAGATGGAGACCTTGTTCTGGGAAACACTTGGAGGAGGAGCTCTTTGGGCAACTGGCGTTGGCTCTGGCTCCTTCTTGACTGGTGCAGCGGCCTTGGCTGGAGCTGGGGCAGGAGCAGGGGCAGAGGTTTGCGGCTTGTAGTCGGATGCTACCTCTTTTGGTGCGTTGCCTTCGTAGACGCTCTCGAGGTCGATCTTGGGTGGGAGCGCACTCTTGCCAGATAACCACTCAGAGGCGGACACGCCGGGCTTGGAGCCGACTGCAGGTGGGTAGATGTCGGATTGGAAGACTTCTGCACGGCGGGGTACAACGAATGAAATTGGCTCGATGTAGGAGTCGGCGACTGTCTTGTAGGCCCTCATCACCTCGTTCTCATGAAGCTGTAATAATTAGCGCTGCGTCTGTAACACCGATCTCGTGACTTACATTAATACCGCGTCTCGGCATGAATGCCAAACCACGTTGAGGGTCTCCAGACTTGTACTCGGAGAGGAACTCAAATTTGTCATTCTCGTATTCGAAGTAACGAATGTTGCCGTCGCTATAATCGTTGTTAGTGGTTTCTCATACTAGGCATTGGGGGAGCTTACCCCTTTCCGGCGAGGTATAAACACTGAGTTCCATCGTCTGTAATACAAAGCGTTAGCATACAAAGAAATCAACGAATAGCTGCAAGACGTACCCCAGAATGGCATGCAAACTCCAGAGATGGAATCGAGAATCGTGAAGCCTCCAATGGGCTCCTGGGGGCTGCCGACATCCCACAAGGCCATTTGCCTATCGCTCATCTTCGAGAATCCAGTTGTCGCAATGCGGTTGTGCTCGCCCATCCATACGGCTCTGCTGTTCTTCGCGCCGCTGTGGCCCGCAACCTCGTGGGCTGGCCTCTCCTGGCGCACATCCCAGATCCGAAGCTTCTTGTCGCGGGAGGTTGTAACCATCATGGTTCCGTCTGCGCTCCAGGACAAGCTCTGCACGATATCGCCATGCTTGAGAGTCAGAGGAGAGTTGCCCGTCTCGATATCCCATAGCTTGATAGTGTAGTCGCCGGAGGCCGATGCGAGGATGTTCTCGGCGGCAGGGTTGAATAGGACTTGTCCGACCTTGCGGGAGTGACCAGTGAGCTTACTGACAGGAGCGACATCCTCTGGCTCCTCAGCGTCCGAGTACAGCGAGAATCCATTGGGGACCTGCCAGATGAAGACCTTTCCATCGTCGGATCCGGATGCAATGATGCGGTCGTTGAAGGGGTTCCTAAGTGCACGCGTCAGCTCGAGTCCCCGGCGTGAGGTAAGCGGCCGGGGCGGCGTTGCTCACCAGTCAGTATCAAGCACAGGTGCAGTGTGGCCTCTGAACAGCGGGATCTGCTCCGGCAAGCGGCCCTTCTCATTCAACGGAATGACAGCAAAAGCACCACCTCCGCTAGCCTCCCAGTTTACAGCGAGGTATTCCGGATTGACCTAACACCCACTTGTCAGCATTCGGCCCCATCGATCTCAATTGTATATACGAGACAGCCGTACCTTGACCAGATTGGTGTCCCACGCATTGCGACTGATGTGCAGGTTATCGTAGGTCGATTCCTTCCTCGTCGGCTTCCCAAATACGTGTCCTTGAGGCTCATGTCAGCTCGTCGAGTTGCGCTTCAGGAGCTGGGCGCGGGGGGGAGGAGGGTCATACGATACTTCGACGCGCGCACAAAGCGTCCTGCCATTCGTGCTCATCCACAGGTGTCGGGCTACAGTGTTGGAATTGGGCTATCGCGAGGGGCGGAGGGAGGGTAGATGGGGGTCTTGTCTGGTCGCGGCCTTGAGATTGAGAGAGTTGGAAGGTGTCTGGTGGTGATTACTCGAGCTAGACTGTATGTACGGCAGGTCGGCGATGCACTGACGATGCTGAAACGAGCTGGGACGCATGCAACTACTACATATGGGTTAGGTTTAGCGACTCCAGATGGGATCCTTGGAATGGATTGGCGAAGAACTTGAGGATAATAATAATTCCGAGGCGTAATCTAAGGTATAAGTAACAGTTCAGTGCGATTTTAATAGACAATTATCATTTCTAAAAGTATGTCTATGGGAGTGAAGTTGGGGTGACGAGGCTACTACTGTAGTGTATGTGTATGTAAGGGACATGAGTTTCTGGGGAAGGTAGTAAGTAAGTAATCTTAGGTAGGTACGAGGGGACAGATAGCTTTAGCAAGGTGTCTAACGGGAAGATTATAAGACATGCAGATAGAATACAATGGTGGCACTTGTATCGTATTAGATGTCAGAGCTAATATATAAATAGGTCGCGTGGTCTAATGGTTATGACGTTTCGCTCACAAGTATCATCATCTATGATATCCGAAAAGGTTCCGAGTTCGATCCTCGGCGTGACCTCTTAAATATTCTTTTGCTACTTTTGCTTCTTTTGCTTCTTTTGCCATTATGATTGTTTTTAGTAGGAGAGGAGAGGGGAGTGGGTTGAAGTATGTCACTAGAATGCTTTGTTTATTTTTAGTTTTATTGTGCTATACTTTGCTGAGTTTGTCTGTATCTTCCGTGTTTTTTATTGCATTTATTTTACATTTTTAACGATCAGGTAAGATGTGGTAATACTAGCTGTAGGTAGTCGGGATCGGGACCCAACGGAATCCGGCATGCTCCACGCACTGGCCTGGGAGAGTACATCCTGTAACACGTGGATCTACACGTTAGTTTATGTACTATCCCATCCTACTCCTCCTTCCTCCCTCCCACGTCCGTATTCCAAGGGAAATGATTCGGCAATCCAATGCCTCGGAAATCCAAATTTTATTTTATTTTTGTCCCTGCTCTAACTTTTGATAAGCCGCAAGCAAATGATTCTCGCCACCCTTACACCGCATTACCGCCCCTTTTTAACCAAATTACCAAATTTACCAATCCCTTACCACCCTATGACTACTACTTACTACTGTGCACTGTCCTTGTGTCCTCTCTGTCCCACTCTGTCCCTTCTCCGATATGCGGGATTCGCTGGTCTTGCCTGCTTAGGAAAGCGCCACTAATCATATCAATCTAATCTAAACCTTCCATCTCCCAATTTCTCTTGCGCCATCCCTTTATCTCATCTCACCATCTGATAAAAACTCGACCCTTCTCCATATTTCCCCGGCTTCGGCACCGCCGCTTAGTTACCCAAACCACTTCCAAGTGGGATGTGGAGCATCTCCGACTAGAGTACTACTACGAGTACCCTTAACGCACACTTACTATTACAATTGACTTCCCAACCAAACCCACCGAGGAAGATCACAGCAAAACTACACACCACTTGGATGCGAACAAACACACCGTCGCCTTCCTCTACCAAAGTCTCTCTTCTTGCTCCTCGCCCCTCACCTACGACCTAAACCGCAGCCATGCTTCGACCAATGGCCATTCGAACGAAGACGACTTCGCACTGTATCCCAGAGGAGCCACCCGTCGACAACGTCTCGCCCAGGTCCGCTGTCCCCTCGCTCACCTCGAACTCTTCAGCCGACGAAGAGGAGCTCCCCAAAGAGCCACGCCGGCGCAGAGCATCCACCGTTCTGATCTCGCAGAATGCCGACGATGCTAGAAGGATAATTGGCGAGAGCGGTACAAGGCTCATAGAGACATGCTGTGGAGGTGGATGCTGCATGTTGGCACCCAAGGCCGAGTCGCAGTCGTTTGAATATGTTCCTCTGCCCGACAATGACGCATTCCGTGCCCTCGGATTGAACCTCGGGCAGCTCCCGAGGAAGCTCACTGCCATTCACGAGTTGCCCCCGAAGACAGTCTCCCTCTCTCCCGTCAAAGATACCAAGGCTCCTGCCATCGTTGGTGCGGACCCCGACGAGAAGCCATTCAGCCCAGCCGTCGACCAGTCGATCGATTTTACCCCGCACACAGCCGAAATCGACGAAAAGTTACAACACACCCGCACACCAACTTCCAGCGAACACCCACCCAAGTTCGTGAAGCCTCATCCTCCATACGAGGTCTTCTCCGCGAAGATCTTCAACACAAGGGAGCTTACAAGGCCCGGGGCACAAAAGAGAACCTTCCACTTCGACCTCGATGTCTCCGACTACCCCGCCGAGACAGGCGTGGACTTCAAAGTCGGCGGCGCCATCGGCGTCCAAGCACCGAACGACGAGGAGATGGTTGACGAGATAATGGACCTTCTCTCCATCCCCCGCGTTGCCCGCGACCGCAAAGTTCTCGTCACAACCACCAGCGGCCGCTGGCCCACAATCTGGGGCGAAGACAAGTCCCGCTCCCTCGTCTCGACCCGCCGCGACCTCCTCACCTGGTGCGCAGACATCCAATCCTACCCCCCCACCAAAGCCCTCCTCCGCGTCCTCGCCGAGCACACCACCGCCCCCAACGAGCGCAAAATCCTCAACTACCTCTGCTCCGCCGAAGGCCAAGGCTGCTTCTGCGACCTCCGCACCGGCCCGCACCTCACCCTCGCGCACCTCCTGCACGCCTTCCCCTCCTCCAAACCCCCGCTCGACCATCTCCTCGCCGTCCTAAAACAGCTCATGCCCCGCTTCTACTCCCTCTCCAACGACCCGCACGAGAACTGCGTGCCTGTAAAGGGCTGCTCGCGCCTCATCGAGATCGCGGTCACAGTCCACGAAACGGAGTCCTGGCGCGGCGACCGCACGGGCCTCAGCTCGGGCTTCTTCGAGCGCCAGGCGCGCAAGTTCCTCGCTGCCGAGGCGCGCGGCGAGAAGCCCGACCTCCGCATCCCCATGTTCAAGGGACTGATGAGCAACCCGCTCGCGCGCGAGTTCATCTCCGACGGGCCCATGCTCCTGATCGGTGCCGGCGTGGGCGTCGCCCCTTTCCGCGGCTTCGTCCAGCGGAGGCTCAAGAGCGCGAACTGCGCAAATAAGGTGTGGGTGCTGCAGGGCGTGCGGGACTCGCTGCTCGACGAGCTGTATAGCGGCGAGTGGGGCGTGCATGAGGATGAGGTGAAGAAGGTGGTGCAGTCGCGGACGGGGACGGGGAGGTACGTGCAGGAGGAGGTGGTGGCGCAGAAGGATCTGTGCTGGTTCGTTATTAATGCGCTTGATGGCCGGATCTTCGTGTGTGGGTCTAGTAAGGGGATGGGAGAGGGCGTGGAGTCGTCGCTCGTGCAGGTGGGCATGGAGATGGGGAATATGAGTCGGGCGGAGTCGGAGGAGTTTTGGAGGCTGAAGAAGGAGGCTGGGCAGTATATTGCGGAGACGTGGTAGGAGGTGAGCGAGCTTGGTGGAAGGCATTTTGGGAGACGTTTTTGTGTATGATGGGGGACTGAGCATTTGGGAAACTCGAGGCGTTTTTGGGCGATGGCATTCGCATTGGTCAGTGTAGCTAGATAAGCTTTGCTGGGGAGGTGGTCTGTTGTCTTTTTTGTACTGTACAAATGAATGGCACGCGCATATACTTTATAGATAAATTTAGAGCCGCAATGGCATGGACATACAATGGAGATGGTTGGATTGTAAGAGGGAGAGTGTGGTGTTATGTTGGCTTGAGAATGCTCTCTTCGTGTCGATTCTATGTATATATTTGCCCCGTCTATTTGTACAGAGTCTGTGCCTTCCACTACTCATGACTATCCGCTGCCAGACTCTTCTCGTTCCAGCAAGATAAGCCAATCCCTAGGAGGGCATGTTATGCTGATGGCTCAACCTGAGACTTGTAAGACATAACCCCCGACGGTAAATATTGGGGATCTATTCCCCGACTCCCTGCCCGACAGCGATAAAAGGCGCCCTCCCAACACCCAACCGCCGCATCTCCCACCATCACTCTCCCCACCCTCTATCCGTGGCATCCATCCACCCCTTTCACGCCTATCCTGCTTTTTAGCCTCCCTCTCCTCCATTCCATCCCATCCATTCGTACAGTATCCCCCCTCCCTTCCTCTCCATCCACCCCAGCCCCCCCCCGTTTCGTACAAGTATATCATCTCTCCCTCCCTCCCCCTTCCTCACTTAAGAGTAAACTTCTGCCCCGCAATCACCGGCGCCGCCTTCTTCTCCGGCGCATTCTTCTTCCCGCACACCGCGCACGCATTCGCGCGATACGCACATTTATTGCAGTATTTCCTGCCCGACTCGATCTTGGTGACGCATTCCTTGCCTGTGCATTTTGCGGCGTAGGCGGCGTAGGGGTTTTTGGCGGAGGAGGAGAGAAGTTTGCTCTGTGGAGTGTGTTAGTGGGGGTGTCTCTTTCTGGTGGGATTTATGGGGAGGGAAAGGAGGGAGCTTACCTTGCCAATACCGGTTTGCCCTAAGGTCGCGGAGGTGGATTTGCCAACGCCACTACTGGAGGAAGAGGCTTTGTTGCCGGCGGGGGAGCCATAGTACATCTCGCTCTTCTTCTTAACCCCCGGGGTGGCGAGGGCAGTAGGCTTCGTGAGCTTCTGGCATTTGGCGCAGACCATCGTTGCGGTTGTTTGGGGGGAGATGTCGGCGCGAGGCTGGGGGGAGTTGGTTGTGGAGGGTTGATCAGATAAGGATGGGGCGATAAAGGGTAACCCGCTAAGCTACAGCGGATCAACTATTTTCCAGCCCTAAATCCAATATCCAACAGGTGCACGGACCGTAACTAACAGGTGCACAGGCGACAGCGTTCCTCTTGTCAGCCTCGCCCTTGCTTCCGCCCGAACATCAACATTCCACTGAATATTGGTTGACAACCCGTCCACGACCTTGTCGTGGCAGGAAAATTATCGGGCATTCTTCAATTATGGCAGAGCCAATCCATGATCCAATGGAGGAAGCAGAAAATTCGTAATTGCTCTCCTTCCAAACTTAAATGAATCCTAGCCCACTAACCCAGTCTCCTAGACCCCCACAACCCTCACCACAAACAGCAGCTTCGTCCAGGGCCACGACGGCCACCTTAGATGGGCAGTCCCCCCCACAAACTACCCAGCTACCCAACGAAGGCAACACCACCACGCCATTCCAACCCGCCGCCCCCGGCCCCCCCCCGATGGCCTTCAATTTGGCACCATCAAACTCCCAATCCCCCTTTCTCGATGCAACCCAGCGCGCCTTCCCCCTCGCCAATGTCCGTTTATCCGAGGCTGATATACAAGCTTCGGTCAGGTCCCAGCTGGGCAGAGCCCTCGACTTCACCTCACCACCGCCGCCCAACCCCCGGCGCCGCTTTGCCGCCCCCCAGGCCTTTCCCACGACAAACCGCCCCGCGGGCAGGCCTGGAAGGCGCAATCTCGCCACTGCGGTTCATAGGGTTGTCCACCCCAACGGGCCCGAAGCCACTGCGGACTTCCCCAGGATGGTCCGCCGCCACGGCAGGCTCCAAAGACGTCTACAGCGTAATCTACCCGACAACTCACCCGCAGATGACCCATCCTTACCATCAGACTC